CAGAACCCCTTAACAAATAGTTTTTCACGACGACCTTATGATATCTTAAAACCACAGAAACAAAATATCAAGTATCATGAAAAGTTGAAGAGAAATGTGTGTTACATTGGACTGTACGACTGAAACTATATAAGTATTAATTATTATAATATTCAATTATGTTAACGTAATTTTAGAAATGCCCAAGGTGCCTTACTTCCTTCAACTCAGTATGTACCTCTATGTAGAGGTGGAAGCGATGGAATGAACCTGTAGAACTGAAACAGTTTTGAGAGCAAGCGAGCGATCTAGATATTAGTTTGGTTTACAGTTTGTTTTGCTCTGTATGGGTATAAATTTTGATTTATTTCTGGGATAAGCAGGTATTGAACTGAGGTGGCTTTTACTTGATGAAAATACATTTATCAAAATAAATAAGAACTAAAAGTTCAGATTTTCACGAAATTATATATTATGACATGACAATTGTTTCGACAACACCGTGTCTTTATCAAATGTAACATTTGATAAAGACGTCAACTTTAATGTTAGCCGGTGGCTGTAATGACAACAAAATATTCAAAAGAAACTCACGGGTTAATAAAAAATTAACCTATTTTTTTTTTGGAAACAATAATTGACTCTTATTCGGATTACACTTATCGACTGTCAAATTAAAAAGTCTGCCACATCGAGATCCCTCGAGAGGCGAGACTGACCGGGACTTTGCGAACCGCGACCGAACGCCGTTCGGGATTTTCGGCCATTTGAACATTCGGCCGTTCGACCGAACACCCGCGTCATCCTCGGGCCGAGTGTGGGTTAAACTTGACGCAGGTATATTTGGCGGGCTCACGGGGAAGCGAGCGACGCATAGTTTTCGGAAAAGTAGCTTTTACAATCGTGTGTTGCCCAGCAGGCACGCCGGGTAACGAACCCCCGCTGACTTTCGAACAGCTGTCGCTGCGTTAAAACCCGCTCCACGGTGGATATCTTCATCAGGACGTGACGGAAAAATTATATCCGAGAGGAGAGTCGAGGGATACCGCGTCTTGATCGTTCGTTAAGTTCTCTCCTTCGAACGTGCGTGGGCGTTCACGCGCATTCCGCCCGCCTTTATTATCCAAAAAATGAGCAGAGCTACACTGTTACGGTGGAATGAAGAAGCGGTAAAAATGTTGACTTTCTTTCGGCCCGGAACCAGATGAAACCTCACCTCACAAACCATTAGTTGACATGGTCTGTTCATAGATATAAGAAAGTGACCATTTGCTTTTAAATGGGATTATCCAAGGGTGGTCATTAACATACAATGCAACAAGATTATTACCCAAAGTCCGTAATAGAAAATAATTTTATACCTACCTGTGTTGTTTGGTTTGGAATACTACTTAGTTTAAGTTTATTAGTAATCATTCTTATTTCGTTTATAATACAGCGTGTATTGAATCGTGTGCGACTTATGCAAAATATGTGCGAGTCTAGTGTATCTCACGAGATGCTCCCGCCAAAATGTAGAAAACACCATTCTATTGAGACTAAGAAAGTTATAAACAATTTTTGTTTGACTCTCATTATGATACCCCGGAAAAGGGTTGGGTTGACTCAACTGATAAGTGCAAAACAAACGCGCCATCAAAAACAGGTAAAATAATAACTATTCCGCATGCTGGCTCTAAAGATGGTTGGATTCCAAATGAACTTCCTCTGTCTGCGAAAAATATTCCACGTCTTCTCCAGCCAATCGTTAGTGACGTTTCTGTCGACATCACGCGCTTCGCCACTGTCTCTGTTTGAACTTCCCCAAGCATCCTTCCGAAGCCTTGAAATCGATAATGCCGAGCTGTTCAGCAAACTTTTCTGCTTTTAGTCTTACGATAGGTCCAGAGAATCGAGTTCCCACATCACTTTTCTCCCCATTCTATCTCCCGAATTAAAGCAACTTTATCATCTAGAGAGTGACAAATTCGTTATACAGAGTCGATTAATACATAGCTTTGTATGTATACGTATAGTACGACAAATTTTGTTCGTAATACAGAGTTCCGTTATTGGGAATTTTCACCGTATAATATCAAAAGCGTCGCTTCTTCATTCAGACCGCTCCGTATTCATCCGCTACCTAACCTCCGTCGCGCATAAACCGGCCCTAAGCGGGTTACGGAGGGGCGACGGAAAAGCGATCGTATCGCCTTTTAATATTTCCCCGACTACGAATAATTGCTTCGCGTTAAACTCACACGTGAGGGTGCTGCCTGCGACATCTTTATTCAACCGCTTAATGGTTTAATCGGTACCGTACATCTCACGAATTCCGCGCAATACTTTATCCCATTGTGAGCGCGAGTCTTATCACGACAATTAATCAGCGCGCGCCTACGTGAGCGCCCGCACCAAGTAGTGGCACCTAGAGAAACGAAATTAATCTCGAAACGCGTCCTTCCCTTCTTTATTCCTTTATGCTGTTGTGCTCGCGTCCGGGCCTGACAATTCGACGGCATAAATTAGATATTTAATCGTCCGACCTGGGTAAATTGAAACGTCACACGGACCACAAAAGATGACGCAGCCGCAGACCACGGAGACACCGGATTCGGAGGTTTTATACCCCCGCAAAACTACACGGTTAAAGCGAGTAGAGTTCTCCGAACGATATACCGTTTTGACGACATAATCCGGTATTTATCAAAGTTGTGCATTTCGGAATTTAAACGAATGGCACTGTCATTTGTACACGCCCTATTATGTTCGTTAATGCGTTTCTGAAATCTTCTACCTGTTTGTCCGATATAAATTTTGGGACATGATCCACATTTCAACTTGTAGACACTGGATTTTTGAGTTTTTCGTAATTTAGTTTTATTGTTTTTTAAAAAATGTTCTCCGGTGTTTTCAGTTTTAAAAGCAATATTAATGCCGAATTTAGATATATGTTTCGAAATGTTCTCGCTAGGTTCTATTGTATTTCGAAACTGCTTCTTAGTTATAATCCTATCTATCAGGGTCGTAACCGTTGTTCAAAGTACAGAGAGTTTAGAGAGTTATCTAGTTGTGTTTTCAGTGAAACAGGAAAAAACGTCATCTACGTATCTATACCGCCAGAGAAAGGCTTCACTCAGAGAATGTTTATGCATGATATTTTCTAAATTGTCCATGAAAATTTCCAACAGCAACGTCTTAAAAATGTACCACTCTAAAAGCGGAAGATTTTGTTAAACAGCTTGGCATTATCGATTTCAATGCTTCGGAAGGATGGTTGGGGAAGTTCAAACAGAGACGTGGTATAAATTATGGACAGATAAGTGGCGAAGCCCGTGATGTCGACAGGAACGTCACTAACGATTGGCTGAAGAAGACGTGGCCAAAACTAGCAGAAAAATACCCCGCTGGCGACATTTTTAATGCTAACGAAACTGGTATTTTTTACAAAATGACGCCACATAAAACTCTTATCTTTCGAAGCGAAAAGTGTGTGTTGGTGGAAAACTTTCTAAAGAACGTATAACAGTGTTAGTAGCTGCCAGTAATATCTAGATCGCTCGCTTGCTCTCCAAACTGTTTCAGTTCTACAGGTTCATTCCATCGCTTCCACCTCTACATAGAGGTACATACTGAGTTGAAGGAAGTAAGGCACCTTCGACATTTCTAAAATTACGTTAACATAATTGAATATTTTAATAATTAATACTTATATAGTCTCAGTCGTACAGTCCAATGTAACACACATTTCTCTTCAACTTTTCATGATACTTGATATTTTGTTTCTGTGGTTTTGAGATATCATAAAGTCGTCGTGAAAAACTATTTGTTAAGGGGTTCTGTTCCTGTTCTGGATTACCCTATGAATTTACTACCCACAATTAACGAAATTCCTGTTTAGAAAAAGTAATAAAATGTTAACTTAGTAAGATAAATTATTTTAAATAAGTTTCATACTTGATATCCCTATAAAAATCGCCGATTCTAACCTAAATATTCTGTCAAATCTCAGCTGTTGGCGGATCGGCTGTTACAAACCAACCCCCCGCCCAAACCCGACCGCCGTTCGGGATTTTCGACCATTTGAACATTCGTTCATTTGTTACCTTCTCCTATAGTCCGTGCTACGGCGAGAGGGAGTAGCGAAGCGCATCGAAACTCGCTCAAAAATAAAAAAACTTTAAGTTCAGATTTTCACGAAATTATATATTATGATATGTCAATTGTTTCGACAACAAGGTGTCTTTATCAAATGTAATATTTACAAACTACCTGCTACTATATATACCGAAAAATGACCATAAAACCTTAATTAATGTTGTTGTGAGAATTTAAATGCAATAAAGGAGAGGTATTTAAATCTAATTGATCGTTAAGCAATACATTTGAATCTCCATGGCTTCCAATAAATTTAATTTTCTACTTTTTGTGGCTGTATGTAAAATATCGAAATAGTCGTCAAAAATGTCTTTTTTTGTGTTTAAGTGTGTAGCATAATTAGAATATAGACTATTTTTTTTTAAACGCTCTTTGTTTGTCCAATATTAGTTTTAGGACAAGATCCGCATTTCAACCTGTAGACAACCTGATTTTTGAGATTTTGGACGTTTAGTTTTATTGCTTTTTAAAAATTTTCCTATTGTGTTGTTAGTTCTGAAAGCTATTTTTAAACCACATTTTGACAAATGTTTTGAAACTTTTTCATTAGGTTCTCCTATGTATGTAAATGTTCGTAATGTGGACTGTAATGTGGATACATGAATAGTAGGAAATAGCATAGGAAAATCTTGTATCGTTTTAACCTTGAATCAGTTGAAAAAGTGGTTTAAAGCCCAAAAATTTCATTTCAAGAACTGAATACCGATAACATGATAAAATTCACCAATGAAACTCCTTTCCTTCCCTTTCATTGGTATTGCGATCGCAAAAACCACCACAGAACACAAGAGCCCTTACGGCATAGTTGACATTTATTTTCGTGACGTCATTTCATTTTTTTTGGTGAGGGGGGTCTGAAATAAAACGAAATCTGGGTAGAGGAGTAAAGGTTCTTTAATTTCGTTTGTACTATAATAAATTTAAGTACCAATGTCCAACGTAATCGGAAAACACTCAGACATTCATAACACCGAATCGCTAAAACGTCACGAAAACGAAAAGTAACCTACGAAATTGACGTTCCGGAGAGTTACGAGTACTTTTTAAGCAAAAATCTCCATTTCACACACATAAACGGTAAATGTACACTATCCGGTCGAACCGCCTCCGCCAACGGGTATGCAACCAATTATACTCTCGCGTATTTTCGTCGACCCATAGTTAGACATAGTTTTTTTTTTGGTCAAAATAACCCACGCAAAATGCTTGCCTTCATATAAAAAATAGACGATAAAAATAAAATAAACGAAGATAGAAAGAAAAGTTGCAAATTTTTAATTTTCCATGTATGCAAATATCTTATTTTAAATGGAACACCCTGTATAATATTGCAATTTTGCTATTTTTCTAAGACATTTAATTAAGGTTTAAAATTAGGTTTATATTTTCAAAAATAATTGCGATAACAATAATCGCGATTATTAAAAATATGGTATAGGCGGCTGAGGCGGCTCCACGGAAAACCGGACGCCCCCTACGTTCTACATGAGATATATACAATATACACAATAATCACAGAACGAAAATTAAACGCAAAAAATGTTGCCGGCAAAGGAAGCCACCCCGCTATCATACAGACGACTATGTACAATTTCATAATTTTGTATGTACAGTTAAATAATAAATATATATGATATATACAGGGCGCATCACGTACAGCACTGCTTTTTCCAACACGTTTCAACAATAATTCGACAGATAAGAAAATAATAAAACTCAGCCAATTAATGAAAAGAAATTCAAAAAACATTTTAAATATGGAACGAATCACCCTGTATATCTGAGGAGGTCATTTTTCGGTGATTTTAATGCATAAACACTTTGCCAGATTTAATGAAAATGATTAATGGCTTGTTGAGTTGGGTTATTTTATGGAATGAAAGTCAGCACAAACAGAAACGTTATATCTATCACGGATTTTTTTTAGACGTGAAAAGTTGATAACTAAGGATTTTCCTAGCAGGATACAGTAGCGTAGTCAGTTTTCTTCAAATTTTGATATACAAATTAAAGAACGTTTTTTCTTTAAATTCAATTATTCTTTCAAAGATTTCAAAAATATCTGTCACATAAGAGGTGTTTCAGCAATTGTTGTGTGAGCATAACAAAAAACTGTCTAATATAACTTCGTCATCAAACAGTCATAATATTTCGTGATTATTGTTATAATTGTTACAATTATAAGGAATTGGATATCATAGCATCATAGTATTTATCATCAATTATCAATCTTGTAAAAAAAAAATATTTTTGAAAATGTGTATCTCAAAAGTTAAGGAGTTTGGGGCGTATGTTCATATGAAGTTTTCTTTTTCAACTCCTTTTTTGAACATATTTTATTTAAGATTTAAACCTCTCAACTTTTGCAGGTCTAGTAACTCTTTTTCTAACTCAACAGTGCAAGTTAATATTTGCAAAAACAAATCATTCTTTCGTATCTATGGGACTTCCGTAGATGTTTAGTGTAGTTTTTGCATTTTTAAGCCTACGTTTTGCAGAAAATGTCGGTAATTTTTGAAAAATATTTAGTTATCAACAGTATCAAAGTATCAACGTGCGCATCTATGCGATATTTTTTTTTTGTTTCATTTATATTTATTCAAATAGGCACCGCGTGTCAAATTATAAGGATATATAAATAAATGTGTTGGGGTTTTTCGATTCCTAATTTCTGTTGGCGACACCTTTCATTTCATAAAAAATCAGCGTTGTGTAGCAAGACGCCAACTTTGATAATAAACGCTGTAAAAGCATCAAAAAAGGGACACACTGTACACTGCAAGGGGTATGTCCGTTGTTGGTGAAGACGGTACTTTTTTGATAAATGTTTTCGTCTTTCAAAAAAAAAAAAAAAGCTCGGCTTCTTCGAATGCAAACAATAACATAAAAATAGTAACAATTTTGGCCAACCTAATGGTTTTAACTTTGCCTTTACTTCTTTTGGAGTCGTTGGTGGTATTGATCCGGATTTTGTGACAATTTTGTTCTAATGCTAAAGTTTACCCTGAGGAAGTTAATGAAACTTTGGTTAGTTTTAAAACTAACGCTAATGGCCCAGACAATATTGATGTAAAAGTGACTACTCCACATCACTTTCTTTGTTAACAAGTGTCTGCTGACCGGGGTTTTTCCGGACTCATGGAAGCAAGCTGAAGTTATACCCGTTCCAAAGAAAAAGTGTCCAAGTGGAATGAACGATTTTAGACCAATCAGTTTGCTGCCAACGGTATCAAAGATTATTGAAAAAAATGCAACTAAACAACTTCGTCAGTTCCTATGCTGTAACAAAATCCTCCCAGACTCTCAATCTGGTTTTCGACCTCTTCATAACGGTACTCCTGCCTTGCTTCATGTTACTGATGATCTATTGAGAGCGGCGGATTCTAAATTAGACTCTTGTCTCATACTCTTGGAACTATACCAAAGCGCACCTTGGATCATTTTTTTCAGAGATACCAAAGGGTAGTTATAGGAAATACTCATTCAAACGTCATTGCTTTGGAGAAGGGGGTTCCCCAGGGGAGTACTCTGGGGCTTATGCTGTTCTCCGTTTATACAGCTGACTTCTCTACTTTTCTTAAATTTTGTAAATCTTTACTAAAATAAATTTACATCTAAAAATAATTGCGGAGGTGTTTGCGGCTCACAACCTCTTATTGAATACTAACAAAACGCAGATGTTATTAATTGGAAATAAAAGGGAAGATATTGAAAAAAAAACAATTCTTTTAAGATTACACAAAATGATGAGATTATCTCTCCTTCTTCAGGTGGTTGTAAAAATTTATTACGGTTTGACGGTGACTAAGCATGTTAGCTGAGGACATTGTACAAACTTAAACTCTGTGCTATACTTAATCGAGAGAAGGAGAGACTCCAGCGACTTCAGAATGCTTGAATTCGTTCTAGTTACTCCAACAAGACTCCGTCGTACTCGTCGTACTCGTAAACTTTCCAGAGAAAACGACATTCATAATCGAGGCACCCGTCATTGTTTAAGATATTGCGTTCCTAGGGCGTTCCTAGGCACACTTCGGTAACCTTACAGATGTTTTTTATGCTATAACGTCCCTTCCCACAATAAAGTCCTTCAAAAAAGCGTTAATATTGTTTATTAGGCCCGCCAGTGTCTAGCAAAAGCGTCTATGATTTGCGTCTATTTGTTGTATTTACGATGTATATACGGGTGTGCATTTTGTTGACAATATTTTCATTTTCAATAAAGACAGATTATTATTATTATTATTATTATTAATTATTATTATATCTTGTTTGATTCCGCTTGGTATGAACTTCTCAAAACTGTATACGAGTATGGGACCACCTGCATAAATTAAATATTTTTCGACCCACTTTTCCTAACACCATGGGACATTGCTAATTATCATCGTAAAAATATTAAAAAATAGCTGTTAAAACAATGGCTTTCGAAAAAATTTAACATAATAAACGCTTGCTTTGAAAATGTCACTGGGTAAAAACGTTGTATTTAATGAATAGCGGAATGTCACTTATGTTTTTTTTTTACTTTAAAGTTTCCAGAGGGACCACGACCAAGTCGTGCCAAAAAATATCTATGAAAAAGGCGAATTTACTTAGAAGCCTACGAGCCCATGTGGGAGTGAAAAAAACTATCAAAGGGCCATAAATTTAGGCCCTATAAAGTCAACGTATCATTTACATCCTGACGATTCAGATAGGTGACTGGTATATTGCAATCGGGTCTTGGAGCAAATTTGTGTTTTGTTGTACATAAAAAGATGTTATATCAGAATTATTAGACAATGTAAAGTTATCGCACATTAATACCATATTTTTTTCAACAAGGTTGGGCAGACAAGTAAGGCCCTTTTTAGAGGATATAGATCTGTTTTTGGTTTTTGTTTTTGAATAATATATAGCTCATAAAGCTAAGCGAAATGTTACAAATTAACTAAGTTGGCTTCACGCAAATTATAAAAGTTATTGTGTAGGTATTGTCATGAATAAATAAGGCAACTGTCTTAGATATTAAATAAATCATCATCATCATTTATACAGAAAACGCTCGTACCAAGCGGACCAGATTGGCCTACAAAACATAGGTAAACTTTTTCTTTGTGCAGTAAAAAACACAATCACAAAGACTATTATTATTATTATTATTATTATTATTTTGTGTTTCGCAAGCTTCTGTCTTCACTAACAACGGACATGCCCCCCAGTAGCGCACACAGTGCATATAGTACGTTCACGTCGACGTTAATGTTTTTTTTTTCCATGCAAAAAAAAAGCAAACCCGGCCGTTCATTTGCAAAACACCCTGTATACGTCGTTTGAGTCCGCCAAAGCGGCAAATAAATAACCTATGTACACCGGGAGAACGGGTCCCGGACTATACGGACGAAACAAAAAAATTGGCACTGAAAAATGTGTTTGGCACGCGCGGTCTCTCATTGGCACACTTTCGTCGCGCACGCGCGAAGTCTCCGTCTCTTACGATTCGCTCTCCTCGTCGTCGCTTGCGCACTCCTCCTCCATTTCCATGTCGATGTACTCGCCGTACTCGTCCGAAGTTTCCTGCTTCCATTTGGTCACCAAGTGCGAGTTGCTCTGACTCTCCGCCGACGTTTTGTTGCCCCCCTGGCTAGTCTTGGCCTCTTCTTCCTGCTGCATCCGTTTGTGCTTCGTCCTGCGGTTCTGGAACCACACCTTCACCTGCAACGAGCAGGAGACGCCTCGTTAGGTTATGGTCTGTGCATAGATATAAGAAAGTGACCAATTGCTTTTGAATGGGATTATCCAAGGGTGGTCATTTGAATTTAAATTCAGGTAAAATTGTGATCCGTAATAGAAAATAATTTTATACCTACCTGTGTTTAATAGTTTTTGTTTTGGTATACTGCTCAGTTTAAGTTTATTAGCGATCATTCTTATTTCGTGTGTCGAATCGTGTGCGAATTATGCAAAATATGTGCGAGTCTAGTGTATCTCAGGAGATGCTCCCGCCCAAATGTAGAAAACACTATCCTATTGAGACCAAGGAAGTTATAAACAATGTTTATTTGACTCTCATTGAACGTGGTGCCAGCAAGCAAGCATCTTTAGAAGAAACGGCCACATTGACGAAAATTCCAACAACAACTGTATGGAAAATTGTGAATAATCCCATTTCAGCGAGGAAAAAAAGGAGCGATGCTGACATTTTTCTCGTGTGTAAATACGACGTAAAATTTACCAGTTATACGAGGAACAAAGCGTGCCTACATTTGATATCTTAATTAGGAGGCTTGAAAAAGATGAAACCGGTGTTAAATGTGGCAGAACTACCTTATGGAAGTGTATTCAACACATGGGTTTTAGATTTGACGACTGGAATATCTAGAAAAAAATAGGATTTACAGAGAACAACAAAGGCCAATTATTTACTTGGATGAAACCTGGTTCGACACTTATGATACCCCGGAAAAGGGTTGGGTTGACTCAACTGATAAGTGTAAAACAAACGCGCCATCAAAAAGAGGTAAACGAATAACTATTTTGCATGCTGGCTCTAAAAATGGTTGGATTCCTAATGGACTTTCTCTGGCTGCGAAAAATACTAAAGATTCTTCTCTGGATTACCATGAAGACGCCACCGCTGATTTATTTCAAAGTTGGTTTGAAAACAAACTAGTTCCAAACATTCCTCCTAATAGCGTCATTGTAGTGGACAATGAAAGTTATCACATTAGACAGTATAAAACAACATGTATAATAACGACATTAATTTTCACGATGATTATACCAAAAAGCAGTTAATTGAGATTCTACAAAGCCTGAACCTACAAAAGGAATACGTCCCTGATAATTACGCAAAAAATCTAGGGCATACAGTTTTAAGGCTTCCACCTTACCACTGTATATTTAATCCCATTGAACATGTTTGGCACCAACTGAAATCTGCCAGTCGTCGTAACAATCTTTTTCCACAAAATTGGGCAAATTCTGTTAAACATATAGAAATAGCAGAACAATCGTATATCCATATTACAAATAATATAGAATAAATAATAATTAGAACAGGCGATAAGTAACTGAATCAGGTAATAAAAATAATTTGTAATTTTATTTTAGATTTAAACATAAATACATAAATATTGTTTAGTATCTTTCCTAACAAACCCCCAAATAATTAAATTCTAAGCAAAGTACGGACCTGTTCAGCAACATTTTATTTCTTTCCTTAATTCGTATCATTAAGTCACTTTCTTATATCTATGAACAGACTTTACCTGGATTTATATAGTTTTGCGCTAAAAATTGTGCAACCAAGTGGTGCCACAATAGATATTGGTGTTCAAGGTATGTATTTTTAATATTTAGAATTATTAATGTAATTAATATATATTCCTTTTTTTCTTTTGATTGGCCCACCATTGCCCCTTTTTTTTAAACGTTAATACATGTAAACTCTTGATAAGTTATATACCTTGATGAAATGCTTGAAACTTCTACTTTAAAACCGAGTAAGATGCGATGTCGCCAAATGTCGCCGGATCTGTCAAAAACAGTTATATAAGTGATCAAGATATAAAATGGAGTAAAATTTACCAGTTATACGAGGAACAAAGGGTACCTACATTAGATATCTTAATTAGGAGGCTTGAAAAAGATAAAAGCGGTGTTAAACGTGGCCGAACTACCTTAGGGAAGTGTATCCAACGCATGGGTTTTGGATTTTAAAAAATCCTCCTAATGGACAATGCAAGTTATCACAGTAGACAGTTGACTAAAACCCCTTCCTCATGTGACACAAAAGCAACAATCCAAAACTACATACATAATAACGACATTTATTTTCACGTAGATTATAGCAAAAAGCCATTAATTGAGGTTCTACAAAGCTTGAACCTACAAAAGGCAAAGGTCTGTGATAATTATGCAAAAAATTTAGGGCATACAGTTTCAAGGCTTCCACCTTACCACTGTATATTTAATCCCATCGAACATGTTGTAACAATGTTTTTCCCCGTGTTAACTCCAATCCTCATATGGCAAATAATATAGAACAAATAATAATTGGAACAGACGATGATAGCAATAGTGAATAATTTTAAGTAATTTGAGTAGGTAATAACAATAATTTGTAATTTTATTTTAGATTTAATCATAAATACATACATAAATAAATAAATTTTGTTTAGTATCTTTCCTAACAAAACCACAAATAATTAAATTCTAAGCAAAGTACGGACCTGTTCGGCCATATTTCGTTCTTACAGCTTGCCCGGGTCTTTCCTTAATTCGTATCAGTTAGTCGCTTTCTTATATCTATGAACAGACTTTATCTATCTATCCATCTATCTGGCATTCCTTGTATCGCCCCCGGCATCGAAATAACAGCCCCGGGAGGGTGAGCCCCTGCTCTCCCCACCGATCGTTCCCAGCACAATAATCCAGTCGATAAAGTTGCGCGATCACTTCGACACGCTATCAGATTCACAATGGAACGATTAGCGATTTATCATTACGTAATCCCTATACGCGATTTCGGGACCGGGAACGAGGGTCCCGGTCTTCCGGGGCGGTGGGGCGGGGGGCGCCCCCTCGGCAGCGATCTCTTATTGGTGCCCTTTTACGCCATCTTTGGCTTTCCCGTTTGCGGAGACGACGATTGCTCTCCGGGCGCTCCCCCTCTGCCCTCCCCAACCCGGTCCTCTTTGCATCTGTCGCCTTATTATTCTCGCTTAATTTCATTTTAAACGTTTACTTTACGTCGACATCGATTTCGATAATCGCGTCGCTTTAATTACGCCCGGACGTCGGTCTTTGATTGACCCGGACCGCGGCCAGCGGTCGTCTTATTTTTTAATATTTTCATGTCAAAAAATAAACGGCGAACATACGTCTTAAACTCTTAATTTTCGAGAAAAAAAAATCTCTAAAGAAAAAGTAAAAATTCAAAAATTAAAAACAAAATACTTCGCGGCTTTTGATTGCGCCCATCTTCAACAGTATAAATGTGCCAAATCTGACGACATTGTATTGAATATATCACGGAATATACCGAACACCCAGTACAATATGTGGAAACGTTAAATAACAAAATCTTAGTCTTAATGATAAAGTTCCGCTAGGGTACTACGAAAAACAGCGGAAAATTTCAAAAAAAAGATGGACGCCAAGGTCCGATCGCAGCCATTTATGTGTCCCGTGGAGCTAAATTTCAGCCACCTTGCTCACATCGTTCGGAAGTTATTGGCGTTTTTATGAAGCATCGACAGAGAACAGAAACCAGAAAACAGAGAACAGACAAAAAATAAAAATGTTTTTTTTTTCGATGCAGATTAATTTTAAAAAATTCCAACGTGAAGAATATTAAAGGTGTTTAAATAAACCCTTTTTGGCAACCCAAAAAACAGGGGTACTTCGCATATCCTGACTGCTGACCTAGCAGAAGGCCCACAAATCATGGACATAGTCCTTGCATTTGCTTTTCTTAAGTAATACTTCCAGATTTTCGTAGTATTCTTTCATTTGCGTGGAATGAGCAACAGGTTCAGAAGCAAGAACATTTTCGTGGTGCAAAAGAACAGTTTTAAGGCTGTGACTAACTGATACCAATTAAGGAAAGACCCTGTCAAGCTGTATGAATGAAATATGGCCGAACAGGTCTATACTTTGCTTAAAATTTAATTATTTGGGGTTTTGTTGGGAAAGATACTAAACAATATTTATTTATTTATCTTTAAATCTAAATTAAAATTACAAATTATTTTTATTACCTACTTAAATTACTTAAAATTATTCACATAATATATGAGTATCATTATCGCTATCATCGCCTGTTCTAATTATTATTTGTTCTATATTATTTCCAATATCGATATACGATTGTTCTGCTTTTTCTATATGTTTAACAGAATTTGCCCCCACCCTTCAAATTAATCAGCGGTGGTGTCTTCATGGTAATCCAGAGAAGAATCTTTAATAATTTTCGCAGACAGAGAAAGTCCATTTGGAATCCAACCATCTTTAGAGCCAGCATGCAAAATAGTTATTCTTTTACCTCTTTTTCATGGCGCGTCTATTTTACACTTACCAGTTGAGTCAACCCAACCCTTTTCCGGGGTATCATGTGTCGAACCAGGTTTCGTCCAAGTAAATAATTGGCCTTTGTTGTTTTCTGTAAATCCTAATGTTTTCTAGATATTCCAGTCGCCATTTCCGAATTCTAAAATATTCCATTAAAACTTGCCTTTTCACAATTTTTTTAAATCTAAAACCCATATGTTGAATACACTTCCATAAGGTACTTCTGCCACATTTAACACCGGTTTCATCTTTTTCAAGCCTCCTAATTAAGACATCTAATGTAGGCACGCTTTGCTCCTCGTATAACTGGTAAATTTTACGCCGTATTATATCTTGATCACTTTCATCTACACTCGAGAAAATGTCAGCATCGCTTCTTTTTTTCTTCCCTGAAATGGGATCATTCACAATTTTCCATACAGTTGATGTTGGAATTTTCGTCAATGTGGCCGTTTCTTCTAAAGATGCTTGCTTGCTGGCACCACGTTCAATGAGAGTCGAATAAACATTAAGCTATTATCTTGATTCGGGTTTAAAGGCCGTCGTCGGTTGGAATTACTTCCTAACGTTTCGCTAGCACGAGTGGCGAGCTTCTTCAGAGGTCCTTCCATCTCCGATGTTGGACGTAGACTGACGATTTC